GAGAGAAAAACTATTTCCCTTCAGCTAGAATGTTGTTTAGTCTACCTTATGCTGACAAACATACTCAGGAAAGCCTTCCCCAGACCACTTCATACGAGGGTAGCTTTGCTGGTAAAGGCTCCCATAGCATCCTTCACTACTACATACTGCACTTGTACTTACTCATTTCATTTATTAACAAGCATGTCTATCTGCCTGGCACTGGTCTAGCCACTGGGGATGAGGTGTTCCAGATGGATAAGATCCCTTACCTCCTGGAGTCTACTTTCTATTGAGGAGACAGACACATACATACATACACACACATACACACACACAAAATAGCAGCTAGTGATAAATGTTATGAAAACAAAACACAATGACATGATAGTGAAGGTGCAAGGAGAGATACCCTGGGTTTGGTGGCCAAGGAAGCCCTTATAAGGTGGTGGCACTTACACTGAGACCGAACAGACAAGAAGGTGCCACTGAAAGTGAAAAAGAAGAGTTAGTGCCAAGACATATTCTTGGCCTCCTTGAAGAAGAGACCAGTATGGATGGAAAGGAACAGGAGAGAAAACAGTAGAAACAGGACCCAGAGAGGAGACAAGGGCTAGTGACTTGTGGGCCGCTCTGGATTTTATTCTAAATATGACTATTTGTAATTATTTATTTAAAAGTTGACTTCTAAACTGCAAGTGTCATGGGCAAATCTCAACAGAAGAGTAAGTGCCCCCCCCCCTTTTTTTAATCATCAGCATCTACCACAATGATTGGCACCTTGTATGTGTAAAAAGTTTGCTAGAATGAATGACTATAGAGAGATCACGTTACTTCTCCATATATATATATATAAACATAAGATTTCAGAAGTCATTTTGACTAAATTAGAGAAATACATGATGAAAAATAGAAATTAGAGTCTCGTGTCTACAAGAAAAAAATTATATATATATATATATACACATATATATGTAATCAGTTTTCTAAATATAATGATACTGAAGGAAAAAATAAGCTTGAAACCCTAAGGACATCATTTGAATCAAAGCTCCCCACCCCCTTTCCTGTAGCACTTCCTTCATATGGAACCATGTGAAACAAGCCAGTTCCCCAACTAGTACACAAAAACAGGGTGTGAAATAGGTGCTGTGAGCTGACAAAGGAACTCTACAAATCTATACAATTTCCAGCCATTTAAACCAATTCTGTAACTTTTCGGTAAACTGGCTGAGGGGGCTTTCCTTGTAGGTAGGATATTGTTTCCTAAATTCCAGGAGCTCTCTTAGGGTTTGGAATGACGGATCTATAGTAACAAAAAAAAAAGAAAGCAGGTACTTTTTGTGTTTGGTAAAAGTGCTATCTCAGTACGTGCACAGGACAGTCTACGGGCCTGTACAGTTTAAAGAAAACGGTATAAGGAGAATGTCAAACTAAAGCACAGCTCAATCTGAAACAGACACTAAAAGGGGACCCCGTTTAGATAAGCAGGCAAAGGCCTAAGGAAAACAGGACCCAGGCAAGGTAACAACCGTTTGGGAGGCCGAAGGTGGAAAGAGCTCTTTCAGATGAATGAGATGACTATTGCCAGTGTGCCAGGGGCCATGGAAAAATGAAGAACTGTTTAGAGTAAGGAGAAAATCTGAATAAAAAACGTATTGCATTGGAGAAGACACTGGCAAAAAAAAAAAAAAAAGGACAGGGATTCTTACAGCTAAAACAGACCTTATATGCTTTCTAAAACTCCCTAATTCCAAGATGAGAAAAGGGAGACCCAAGAAAGCCCTAGTTACACAGAGTTAATGAGTAGCGAGGCTGGCAAAGAACTCAGGCCTCCTGGTTCTTTTTCCTTAAGCTCTCTGGGAAAGCACTGTACCAGGTGTCCTTAAAGAATCCAAAAGAAATACACATAACTTTCCCTACCTCCCAAGAGCTTAGAAATGTGCTTTGGTGATATGACACACCAAAAAGAAAGAGAAAAATATAAAAACAGGATGTAAATTTCTTTAAGTGCCAAATTATGCTCTACAAAAATACATTAGGCATTTAGAGAGCTGCAGATTCGGAACAGAAAAGGAATCAAAAGCAAATCAGTGACTGTTGAAGTGCTACTGGAAGGAAAATGATTTTGATGACTTGTGTCCAGAATAACATGAAATGTAAGGGAAGAAACTGTGGAGGGCCCAGCCTGCGTGGCTCACTGGTTGAGCGTTGACCTATATATGAACCAGGAGGTCATGGTTCAATTCCCAGTCAGGGCAGATGCCCGGGTTGCCGGCTCAATCCCCAGTATGGGGCATGCAAGAGGCAGCCAATCAATGATTTTCTCTCATCATTGATGTTTCTATCTCTCTCCCCCACTCCCTTCCTCTCTGAAATCAATAAAAATAATAAAAAAGAAACTGGGGAGGAATTAATAACTGTAACTTTTTAAAAACTAAAAAAAAAAGGTAATGGATACTGTATACAGTTGTGAAAATGAAAATAAGAGGGCAGATCAGGAAGTTCATGTCTACAATTTACTTCAAATTACAAAAGGACCGGTTACAATATATAACTAACAACAAGTTGCACAAGTTCCAAGTGTCATAAGTTTACAAGGCAGGGTTGGCTCGCTGGTTTCTACCAACACAACCACTGAGCTGTGCTTATGAAAACAAAACCACAGGATGAAAGAATTCCATTTTCCTGAGAACTGTGAATTTTGAGACTATCCTTTTTTACTTTTAGAAGGGAGTTCTGGTTTGGTTTTGAATCTCAAGTTACCCATCGACTTGCTCTGCAATCCATAAAACGACAATGTCCAAAGTGAGGGTAAACTAGTCATGAACATGTCACCAGCAAAAGTCCTTTTACCAACCAGAGCCAGCATATTTACAAGATCTTATTCACCATCTTAATCATCAGATGCTTTACTGGCTTGGCTGCCTCCAGTTCCAACCACAAGTTGAAGGGTGGCCCTTTTTGTTCCTTCAAACCAGGAAAAGTATCTTTCAGTCCATGATATCCTTCATCATACCAGTATTATAGCACAGAACCCTGAGATCATTACATGTAAATATCCAAACTCCCTCGCTGAATAACTACTGGGTAAAGTGACTTGCTAGTAGATTTTAAAAAACGTTTTACAGAAAGCTTTAGACCTCGATGCGG